ATGAAATAAGATGATAAAAAGGTATTGGTGATAGTAAGAACTGCTGTGAAAGGCATTGTTTCACTCCCATGGCATTACTGCCCATTGATAAGGAATGTGTTTAATTAATACTTAGAGGAAGGGTCCCAGAGCTGTGATGCAGAATGTGGCCAGGCCTCCCTGCAGAGCAGCCCTGTGAAGAGCCAATAAGCTTCCAGTGGGAACCTGAGGGCATGTTGAGATGTTGGGATGTGTTTCATGAACTGTTTAATAGAAATTGTAAATGAATCAGCTGCTCCAAGTATGAAGTTTGCAATCTACAGGTGATACACTGAACCACAAACCAAACTACATTGAATATATTGAGCAAAGCCATCTAACCTTATACCTCCAGTGAAGAGGTTTTCTTATCTCTTCATGGAATCAACAGTGTTAGCCAATTTTTGCATGTCTTCTTTCCTTCCTCCTTTCATTGAATTCTCTTGAAAGACTGAAGAACACCTTATTTTGTACTCTATTTTTTCCTAACCAATTACTAACTCCTTTAACTTGTTCAGGTAATTTCAGTCCCAGAGACACATCTCCATGTGCAATCGTTATAATTATGCTTCCTTGAAGACATTCAATATTCTAAAATTGAAACAGCAACTGTTGCCTGTTTTGTCAACCCACCAACAAACTGGCAAAGGAGGTTAGGTGGGAGGCCAGACCCCAAAATGTCACTGAGCCCTATCAGACATGAGACACTCAACTGTTCAACTCTTGTTACATTAAGACTCGAAGAGACCAGCCAATGCTATTCTGATCAAAGCCGAAGACATTTTAAAACTGGATTTCTAGGCTTTCTGCTCTAGTCTCAGAGGAGAGTGCAAGCTTCAGATGAAACTCCCTCTTGATCAGACTGGCTAAAGGAAAATCTTCAACACTTGCTGCTGTTCACCTCATCGTGTTGGACACTGGTGACATTCACCCTTGCAAAAGGAAGAAGTGGTGTCAGGCTCAAAATCATTGGGTAATTAAGAGCTCTGTGCTGATGCAAGGGTGTCCTGCCACAATATGACTTGGAGAAGCTGTCACATCAGGCCTTGTTTGCGAGGAGGTGGCAACCCTCTCAGCAGCATCAGTAAATGTAGTATTGATGTGGTATCTTTGACTGACACTTGATTCAGGTGAACTGCCAGATAATGTCAGTAGCAATCATAGCTCCACCGCAATATTAAGGAACAGAGATCATTGTCATAAGAACATTTTTAGGCATATGTCTTCATGAGGTTTTGCCCATCCTGTTTAGATGGTATTCAAAAGGAAATTATTATAGTTGGTGATACAAAATGAAAGTTTTCTTTCACTGTCATTATATAAAAATCTTTACATTTGATCAAGTTTCTTACACTTTAATAGAAATGTTTATGATTTTGTTTAGAAATCAGGCATGCATTTAATTTTTATGAAATAAATTTTTGAAAATATATTTCTGCAATTGAGCACCTTTAATCCCCTCTGCAATAAAATTTAACTTTTGGCTTCATAGAGGGCTTTCTATTTATATACAGACTATTCAATTAATTAAAATGCATGGATTTGCTGCAAGAAAATCAGGAATCAGAAGAAAGCAGTGATTGATGTCAACCTTGATGACAACCATCTCCTCTATCTTCATGTTAGAAAAACAACAGAAGAAAGAGAAGTGCAATTGCATTGTTAACATCAAAACACTAAATCTGGCGATAATTTTTCCATTTCTTGTTTATTCCTAGGGAGAATAAAGGGAAAGAAGCTAATACATCTGTATCAGGTCCAATAGAAAAAATGCAAAAATTAATTGCAAACCAATACAGCAGTTAGCTCATCCATCTGTCTCTGGAAAACACACAATCCTGATTCACCTATTGCAGCTACTTGTAAAGCTGATTTATTGAAATCCTTGAAGAATAGTCTGTGAACATGTCACAGCATTGAAATTGTAAGGGGGTTTCCATATTTCCTTCATTGTGGGCTGAGAAAAAAAATTTTTTCAGTTCCCTAAAATCATAAACCTTCTACACCCCAGTCAGCATTCACAAGTGGAGGTTTCCTGCATGTAGAATAATCAGACACTGACACAAGTTCCTCAGAGGGACCAGACCTCCAGCATTCAAAATGGAGTCTCCTTTTCCTCCCATGGCAACTTTTTCCCGTAGTTCTGCACTCCAGAACAGAGCCCATTTGAGCAAAAGTAAGCAGCCAAAATCACTGTATTATTACTACTAAAAAAAACTACCACCACCACTACCACCAACATAATAATAACAAAAATCCCCTAAAAACAAACAAACAAAAAACCTCCAACCTAATTTCTATTCAAAATCTAGTAAAGAAATATGCAAATGAACATAATTTCCAAGGCAGAGGAGACACTTGTCATCTGAAAAAATATATTGTAAAGAATCTTCCTAAAGTTTACAATGCCTTTATAAAGTTGCATCTAAATTTTTCTAAATAATAATGTGCTGGAAAAAAGGCAGTGATTTCTTAAGTTATCCCTGTCCAGAAAAACAGTTTTTTTGTTTTTTTGAACAGGCTGTTGAACATATGGTTAATTTTAAACACAGATGGAATTAAGCATGTGCTTCAGTTCTTTTCTGAGTCAGAAGTAAAAATTTAAGACCATAGCTATGTAATACTTTGCCATGCTACAGCAGAATCAACTAAAATGTTGCCATTATATTCTTTCATATGATTTCAATATCCTGCTTGAGCAGAGGGGGTTGGATTAGATGACCTCCAGAGGTCCTTTTCAACCTCAGACATTCTGTGATGCTGTGAACACTGTAGAGATGAAAGTATGTTAGTTATATACTTATCTATTGTGTAAGGAATATAAACCATTCTCATTGTTTATGTAAATAGCAAAAAAAAAAAAATTAAAAGGCAAATGTGTCATTTGGATCATTCATTTTTCTTTATTGAGCTTTGATGAAAAACAGTCCATTTGAAATATTTCCAGCAACCATTTCAATTCCAAATGCTCAATACAAAAACTTGGTATCAGAGTTCAAACATATAAAGTTACACCTCATTATAATTTAATATTTAACAGCACTAATCATTTCTGATTTTTCATAATTAAGTTTACAAAAATAATGTTACATTTATAAAATAAATCAGGTTTTCCCAATAAATTACAGTGGTGTTCTTATTCAAAAATGTAATATATCATACAAAATAGACAACTGCTTTTTGTCAGATAAAATACTAAAGTATATTTTTCTTCCAGTACATTTTGGCAGTGTGTGGAAACATTTTATTGTACACTTGATATCTGAAGTTCACTGTGAAAAATAAACTAAGCTATTATGCACATCTCTTATATAAGGCAAGGGTGGCCAGCTTGGGGACTGATCTTTATTTCCGATTATGTTTTTTGTCAGACCAATACTGCTGTGTTTATGCAACTGACTTCATTCATCTGACACAGTAAATTCATGCAGATCCACCTAGAGTCCAACACTCTTTCTATGACAAGTACACAAAAGTGAGCCAAATCAGTAAACATTTGGGCTGCTCAGTATCTCTCACACTTGTTTTACCTTTGTGTATCACTGTAAAGCATTGGTGGCCAACTTGTAAAAATAGCACAGTCCGGATACCCTTAAAGTTAGTGGCAAAACTTCAGTACCTTATTCTGTCATAAAAACTCATACTAAAAGGAACTTGTAAAAAGAGCAATGCATTAATAAAAAACAAACAGTAAACAGCAAAAAGAAAAAAGGATCTAAAAAGCAAAAGGCAAACATTAATAGCTACTGTATACAGACTTTACAAAAGCAACTACTTTAAAATAACAAAGAAGCACAGTGTCTACCTCGTGGTAGGTGCATTCTCATTAAAGCCTTTTGAATGTTCAGGTCAGCTCAGCATTTACTGTGTTTTGTAGGCATTTCCTGCCTACAAAAGTGTATTTGAAGAATCATTCCAGATTGTTTGAGCAACTTTTATAAGCCAAGGGAGTAACTGCACCATCTCTGGATGCTGTGATTAATGAAGGTGTCTGGTTCAGGATGAAGGACGAATCTGTTCATCTGTTCATTCATTCAGGATGTATTCTTCACCTTGAAGAATTTCTGACTCCACTGTTTTCTCTTTGCAATAGTTTAGCAAACTGCAATATTATTATCTCTTTTTTATCTGTTTCTCTCTTACATATCTTCTGGTAGAAAGTCTGCCTTAAAGTAGACTTTACTCACTGCTGTCTGGAATAAATAAAATGTGCAAAATGGTGATTTGCTTATGATACTAGTATTGTATGACAAACGTACCACTTCATATATCACAAAGGATTACTTTCACAAATTGTAACTGAGTAGTATAAATGCCCCAAGTGAGCATGTCACCACATCCACTTTGTGCAAATTCACAGAGGGTCCAAATCCAGATGGGTTGTTATGGACTCCAGACACAAAGCTTAGTCAGTGTTGGATCCCCAGACTGAAAGAGGAGGAAGAGGTGGAGAAAGGGGCTCATCACAGAAAACCAAGTCATACCACGCTTCTGAAAACTCTTGAAAATTGAGAGGATGAGTATGTGAATTGAGAGGGTGTGCTGTCTTCTGGCTTGAAATACCATGACTCAAATTAGGAAAACCTGGAGCTGAATTCAGGCACATTTGCCACTGCAATTAGTAAGTCATACCTCTCCAAACACAGAGCTACTATATTCATTACAACTTTTCTGTAGGTGAATTTTAGTGATTGCTGAAATGTGCATTTACCACACAGTTAGACCAATAAACACAATGGCTACTCCTACACTAGTAAACCAAACATCACAAAGTATACTCCAGCCCTGAGGTCAAATAACATGGTCCTAGTTATACCTCATTGCAGTTACAACTTCCTTGTGAGGGCATGAGGAGGGGCAGGCACTGATCTCTTCTCTCTGGTGACCAAGGACAGGACCCAAGGGAATGGCCTGAAGTTGTGTCAGGGGAGGTTCAGGTTTGATAACAGGAAAAGGTTCTTCACCCAGACAGTGACTGGGCACTGGAACAGTGCCCAGGGAAATGGTCACAGAAAAGCCTGACAGAGTTCAAGAAGCATTTGAACAACCCTTTCAGGCATGTAGTGTGACTCTTGGGGATTGTGCTGTGCAAGGCCAGGAGTTGGACTCAATGATTTTTGTGGGTCCCTTCCAACTCTGCTTATTCTGGGGTTCTGTGATACTCTCTGTACCCCTAAAGAGAAGGGCTGTGTCCAAAGAACCTGGTGAAAAGTGTCCCTAGACTGGCCTAATTCCCAAAGTGTGCCCATAAATTTTTTAGGAATGTATTAATTAGTTCAGCCTGAAAAGCCTACCAGTTCTTGTTCTAAGTATTTATCAATATAAATGCTTCAGCACTGGCCAATTGACTATATATAGACATAATATCTATAGATGTTCTACATATAGATTTTAAGAAGTCCTCAAGCACATTCACCCAGGCAGGCCTTCTGCTTCACACAAACTCTTAAGCAGGGAGGATTCAATGGTTTTGTTGAAATTTTACTTGAAAGAGATGGTCCTTTCAAATCAGGATTTTTTAAAATAGCTGGGGTTTTCTGTCCATTAAGTATGTTTTCCTTTTTTTTTTCTATTCATGTGCTTTTTTGGTAGCCTAATGTTCTACTATTAGTGTAATCTTGGCTTTTGCTTGAATAACCCACCTTTTCATGTCTACAATTCACAGCTAAACAAGCACTAACCAGTTCCATTATGATGAAAAAAATTATATACAAATCTAAAACAATAATATTAAGACAACAACTAAAACAGAAAATAAAAACACAAATCTGTGCACTTATAAGATCTAAAAATAATATCTACCTCTATACATATTTGTCAGACTGCAGTGTCCACAGTTACAGTTGTATGCAGTAGTCAGAACAGCATTACTTTCCAAATCATGAGGTGTTTTAAGGAACACCCACTTAGTAGTGGCTGCTGAGGAAATAATTTCCCTTTATCAACCTGAGATTTTAAATGTGCAAGTGTTCTACTAATCTTTCTAGTGCATGAAAAGGAAGGGAAGGAAGGATAAGACAGAGACAGAGATAAAAATATTATCACAATGGTTTTTGTTTCAAAATAGATTGTTGTGCAATGACTGAAGCCTGATTTGAAGACATTTTGTATTCTTGCCCAGAGCCTTGTGGAGGGGAAGGCAATGGAGTTTCTGGAGTTGCTGAAAAAAAACATAGAAATAATTACATATTTTTATAGCCTGGTCTACTCTACATATACATACTACTGCAATGAAAGGGAGTCTTGTTGCATGCTTGGGAAAGGGAGTGCCTTGACATGCTAGGGAAACAGGATATTTTAATGATCAGAATTTTTAGTTTATTAAAGATTGTGCATGTAAAAACAATGATATATCAGAATGGTGCTGAACTTTTAAAATTAAAATAAACTCAGGTCAAAGTCTATTACTTAACACCATTTATATACATACATTTTTAATGCACAATTATTTTAATTTAAGAATGATGATTAAATAGCACTATGAACACTGACAGGCCACCGTTCTAATTAGTATTTTAAAATGAAACAGTGAAATGTTATGACAGAAGGTTAACATGTAATTACTTACGTATCTGTTCTGTGTGTACAGGAGCAGACACTGAACCTATAAGGACAGTCTGGCCAGTTAATGGATCTTGGGCTAAGTGAGGATGCATTGGATGATGCAGATGACTGGCATCATTAGAAGTACCTGCAAAAATAACATGAGCATATATCAATGCAAAAGAGCATGTTGTTGCCAGTGACTTATACTTCAGTAATTACATTTCCACAGAGTAAATATTTTGATTGGCAATTTGAATAATTGCCTTTGGGTATTCATTAAACAATTTAAGAAGATTTCAAGCATATTAAGCACTGTGTTTATTTTCACTGTTTTGACTGCAGTAACAGTGTGTTTCATGAAATATTTCTAAGGATTCTTTCATCTGCCTAGAGAATTGTAGGACAACCCAGTAGTTACTGAGAAGTAAATAGCAAAATCTGTCATTGTAGGACTAAGTCAACAAGATGAACTGCCAAAACAAAAAGGCTTTAGTTAACAATTACACAACACAAAGCTCAGATAGTGAGTCAGAGTGGTATCTTAGATCAGGATTCCTTCAACATCCCAATATGCTAAATTCAACATAATACAAGATGGTAAATTTAACAAATTGTTATCTTACCTCCCAGTAACATTTCCTGAAGCAAACTGTCAATTTTAACAATTCCAAATAATTTAACCAATTGTATCTGCTCAATCATTTGCCAAGTGATGCTTTGGAGTGTAGGCAGTAGAAGAAGAAGTTCTCCAAATCTTCCTCTGGAGTCATACTGACGGTCATTAATATAATCCTCTAAACTGATTTGGACTTGGAATCGCATATTCTTAATTTTCAATGGATTACTCAAACCTTTTGCATCTTAAAAAATGACAAAAAGTCAAGGCATATTACAAATGGAAGAAGCATCATACTGTTTTTCATTTTATTCTTTTCTATTTAGCTAGATAACATGAACAGATGCTACATTAACAAAAATTACTTTCAATACAATCACATGTAAAACAATTGAGAGATATTTTTGTAAAAATACCTGGATCAAAAAACACAATTGCTTTCAAGCAAGCATATTCATTGTCATCTATTTGAATTTCCTGGAAGGGACGAACTAATTCATCCAGAATCCGATTTGCCACTCGGCAGATCTCTATTTCAGTGCTGTTGCGATGAATTATGTAATTGTTGCCTGAGAAAGAAAGAATACCAACATATGAATTGATACAAACATTTTGAGGTAACATACTATATGAAGCCAACTTTCAAAAGTACATTTCATATTGCTTGATCAAGTTAATAATTTTTTTAAGTAATAACTCTCCCTTGTATCACACACGACTTTCCTTTGCAAACAAAGTGTATGTGCAAATTATAGCTGTCACCCAGTGAATAACTGGTACATATACATATGTATGTGTACATACATTTAAGTATGTCAACATGTAGTTACTGATTGGTCCACAGAACCAAAGTTGGTACTTGAACGTACAAGTATGAAGCAAGTAGACCTTTGTGTTTAAATAACTGGTAAAGATACTAACAAATTGATCTTAAAATGTCTTCTGCCCTGATTAAAATAACATATCCCAAGCTGAATGACAAGGATTTCTCAACAGACAACAGGAGATGCTGGAAATGCTTTTTTTTCTAATGGATATTTCTGTTGTTCCTAATAAAATTTAGTAGCATTGTAAAATTTTCAGTTAGGAATTAATTTTACCTAGAGTTTTTTGGGTTTTGGGGGTGTTTTTACATATCCATTCGGAGGTCTCCACTATGGCCCAGCACTAGTAATATTGTGGAGTTTTCAGAAGCCACCATGTAGTTTTTAAAAGAAAAGATGGTAATTATATCACAAAAGATCCACGTCAAAATGACCCATAGAACAGATGCCTACCTCCAAGTATCAAAATTAAGCCTAGATGCCTCAAATTGTTTCTTCTTTTGGCATATCTGCTGATGCTTATGATATATAATTTTCTTACTATTATTTTATAATTTTTCTTATTGACTTATTATTAATCCAAATAAAATTTAATTTTTTTGTTTGTTTCTGTTAATTTTGTTAGTGAAACAGTATCTAGGGAAATAACTACCTTAAGAAAGCCATTTGTACAGCTTTTATCTTGAAAAGATTGCTGGGGAGAGAAATATCTTCAGACCACACCCTTCTTGTCCTTTTAATGTTTTAATATGTGTAAAAATAAATCCAAGCTAATTTAGAGCTATGAAAAGGCGGGCCCATAGAAGAAGGAGGACAAGTAGTAGAAAATGTCCTTGTACCACACCACCAATGAAGAGACAAGTCTGAGTTCATATTCCATATAGTTTTGCCTCACATCAAAAATCCTGTCCAAGACAACCAACAGACTTTCTCAGAAAACAGCCTCAGTGCTGACAATGTCAAATGAGACCCTTTTTGGCAGAGTACACTTCAAAGTGGCAGAGCACTGTGTCACACAAGGCTAACAAATGCCTCTCCCCATCACTCTCCACACAGGCACACATCTCATCTTGCAACTGGGCCTCCCTGTTGCATGAACTGGAAGATGTGCTTCCATCAGCGACAACATCCTCTTCCCTGACAGCCGTGTTCCCTTTATATAAGCCAGCCTAGGAGCCATTTCAGCTGACCAAGAATATGCTCCTGCAGACGTGCCTTGTCACTGTGCCATGGATGCATCCATCTGCATGTGGCAAGGACAGCAGGAATGATGTTTATGTGGTGGCCATATGGGGACTGTCGAGGAAGCAGTGAGAGGGGCCTTGGGAAAGTGAGCTGCAGGAAACAGGCTATCTAATATTTTATCCAGTGGAGTCTTCTCTGAGTCTGAAGGACTCCTGAGAAAGCTCCAGAAAAATGGTTTTCATGAAGACTGAAAGTAGTACATGTGCAACAGGTTGGCTGCTCCTTTCCTAAGCAAAGGAGTTTTTACGCTGTTTTTGTGATGTTGTTGTTTTGTTCCATTGTTTTTCATGGGAAAAGGTGCAGAAAGGACAATAATGTTAGGAGGCGATTGCCAGGAACTCCCTTAAATTGTGGTTTCTGCTATCCAATAGACCTTTAGGTGTATTAACCCACATGAAACCATCCACCTGCTTTTGCTAAAACAGGCACATGACGTGTCATTAATAGCAATTTAACATTTACAGAATGTATTGTTTTGATTGTGCCAGAACAGTTGCCCCACTTAAGTGACTATATCGTTGCTAATGTACTATAACATCATCACCAGTAAGTAAAAGAAAACCAATATTTACCTAGAAGTAAAATGTCCTTATATGGCATGGACCTTTTTGCTGCTCCAAGCAACAGGTGCTCCCCAGCATGTGCTCTTAGAAGGGCAACCTCATGAAAAAAACAGCAGACTCATTAGATGATACAGCAGTAAATTTCAATATGAGCAAAAGAAAAGAGGATAGATATTACTGTGTGTCAGGTACATGTTTAAGACTGTTAAGATTCCAATGTAAAATGTAAAGTGAATGTAAAAATCTTAACACCATAAAAACAGCACTTCCTAATTAAACTGTCATCCTCAGTCACTTCAGGCATTCTGTCTAAATTTTAAACATCAGGGTCTGCAAAATACTTCTCAATAAATATAGTACCTGCATTTATTTCCTAGTGTGTATTCCCTTGACAAAGTTTTCTCTGGCATCTTAAGCTGACACTAATGACTCCAGTGGGCTGGAATGAACTTTAACAATAAATTTGGTTCTATCAGTGCCTCATTTTTCTCTTGAACCAAAAAATTTATGTGGCACTTAAAAGAGCTTTTCCCCAACAAACCCAGATATGCTAACAGAGCCACTATTGTCCACAAAGAGGGATCCCAATTTGTACTGGGAAGGAACTTGTGTTTATTAATTTATTCTTTCTCACCTATTTACCTTCCTCTGATTTTAATGTCTGCTTGAAATTTCACCTGGGTAATTCTTATCTGTTAAGACTTTTCAGGTTCTCAGTAGAGTTACCTTAGCTGCTTTGGTCTCTTCTATGTTTTATAAATCTGGCTGACTCCCAGATCAGGAAAAATTTTTTCAAAACCAGATGTGCGTTTTATAACTGAATGCACAATGCCCTTTAGAAACTGGCTATCGTAAACGAAAAAGTGGCATTTTTTTATCTCTCAACATCTTTGTCCCTACTTTTCCAAGGTATTTAAGGTTTCAGAGTATTTCCCAACATGTACTCTTCAAGCACAGCAGGGGTGTTTTCAGCTTATCATTCTAAACTGACACTTTATTTTTTTAAATGCAAACATGAACATTTGATACCTTCTCTTTTCCTCCATGCTATTTTAATAAAAGCAGCAATATTTTTTTTGCTTGCTTTTGTTGCCCTTGTGTAGCAATGGCATTTGAAATTCTCTTTCACATAAACAGAGTTTTAACTTATTCGAGTATGTTGAGCTTGTGCACATATGTGCTCTGTGGGTTGGCAAAGACATCATTTAACTCCTTTTTTGGGGAGTCTCCTGTGGCCTGAAACACATCCATATTCCTGAGGAATGATATAAGAGGGAATGATTCAGTTCAAAACCAAAGATGACCTAATACTTGCAGGATTTTGTTGAAAAACTGAGAGACTGAAGAAGCAAAAAGAAGGATTAAAACAATTCCAGTTAAGAGAGTGATTTTTGAGATGAATTAGATTTTGGTGTGGAATCAAAAGACCCCAAGCAATGAATTCATCTCCTGAGGCTGCTTGTCAGAGAACTGATCTTCACAATGTGGAGATACTGGTTCTGGATTTGCCAGCACAACCTACTCTGAAAGCCAGTGATATATCAGGATATATTACAGATGTGATGATAGATCAGACCTCTGTCATAAAAACCCTTATGAATTTTCAAGATTTTGTGTTTTTTCCCTTATATTTATTATATACAATATAATTTTAGTACATTGCATTGTAAGAAAAATTATTTGCTATGCATTGATATCAGTATGTTTGGAATTGTTTGAGATTCTAAATGCTTTTGGTTTTTGCAAGCTGAGAAGACTTCCTTCAAATTAAATAATATGCTCTCTTTAACCATATTATAATGAAAGGTCAACATGAAATAAATACTTTTTAATGTCAGAAAAAAGTTCTGCTTCCAAAACACTACAGAAAAAACAAAACACTTAAAGACATGCTGCTTTTCTGCTTCTTTTTGTTCATGTCTTTTCTGTTGTGATGGTGTTATTTAAAAACTTTAAAAAAAAATAAATTAAGAGGGTGGGTTAGCTCTATTTGTTCAGACAGAAAAGAATGCTTCATCATGACATTTAAATATCACAAGAATAACAGCAGTAATCAGAGTTTTTTTCTTTGGTCCCCTCTTATACCTGGTCATCAAGTGGTAGTTCACAGAAGCCTGGAATATATTTAGCCCATTCCACCAGGACTAAAAGTTGTTGCTTCATAGATTCACAGACATCACTAATACCAGCAATTTTCTTAACATTTACATCAGTGCTAGCACCAGGACTTGAGATTGAGATCTGGCCATAATGAGAGAAAAAATGAACAATGTTAAATTTCACATAATTTTATTTTCATTGGTTAACAGCATATTTAAGAAAAAATCACAGCAGTAATTGTAGATACTCTTGAGAAATTCCTTAACCATATGGAGCATTACCCTGCATGTAAATTATAAATTTTTCTTTCTCATTATTACTTGTTGCATTGCAATATGATAGAACTTTAATTAATCATATCATGATACAGTATCTTCTCATTCCAAAATACTATTTTTAAACATACTAGAACTCTTTTCATTTGTAGGAGGGAGGTGCTTTGGGGTTTTTTTTCCTTTAAACTGGTTGACATTTACCTCATTTCAGAAAAAAAAGGAGAGCTCATAGCAGCATGCAGTAATATTAAGGGATAGAGATATTAAGAGAAAGAGAATGATAAAGGGGTAGCATGTTCTTCTAGTGTAAAGATAAGTATCATTAACTTTAGAAGGTAAAACAGGGGTTTTTGTGCCTGGAGGAGAATGGTTTGTAATGATGAAGCAGCAATATAGGCAGAGGCCTGAGATGTTTCAGAGGAAATGTAAAGGATATGAGTGTGTATTAGACCACCTGCAGGGAACAGTGCTCTGTGAAATGGCAAGAGAGCAATATCTTTCTGAGCCTGAAGCTGGGGCACTTCTACTGAGCCAAATCCTGATATTCTTAATGACTTTTCAAGAAAAGGAACAAAACCAGGCTTTCTCTAAAGTCAGGCGGGAAAGTCAACTTAAGAGAAAGCCAAACCCAGGAAGGTAAGGTCAGTTTATAGTTGCTATCATACTAAGGAAGCAAAAAGAAAAAGGAAGCAGAAAAGAGAAAAAAAAAGGGAAAAAGGAAACAACAACAACAACAACAAAAACAAAACAAAACAAAACAAAAAAAAAAGAAGAGAAAAAAAAACAAACCGAAGATGAAGGAAAAGGAAAAGGAAAAAAAGGAAAACGAAAATATCTCTGTACAAGGCCTATGAAACTGACTTTTCCTTTATGTTTTATTACCAAAATCATACTTGGGAAATTATGTAGAATGATTATCTTCCTCAGGAAAAGAAATTAACTGTTTGGTCTTCCAATACCACGTTCCTACACTTTTCAGGATGGTGGAATGTATTTAGGTTGACTCATACAAGTTCCCCTTCATTCATACATCCATGTTAAACCTCACAGTGGGATCTGTGGTGAAGTCCCTTATCCTTGGGTGGTCAAAGGAGCTATACTTGTGAACTAAAGCTCTGTGCTTCCTACATAATTCAGTAGTGTAAAACACTGAAAACAGCTCAGATATTTTTGTCAGTTAACCAGCTGAACGTTACTTCTCAGGGAAATACAGCAGCTAGGCAGGTGAAAAATTCCTCAGACACATAATTGAAAGGCTATCATGCAGGAAAAAGGTTAGCAGTATTGCCTCTTTGTAGACAGAGAATGTGTGAAATCCATTCTATAATCATGAAGCCATTTCTGGCATCTCCTCTACAAAAAGGAGTTTGAAAATACTGATATTCATTCAGGTGAGAGCTACCAGACGGATTCAGTCTAGAAAACCTTTAGTACAGAAAGACAGTAAAGAAATTCAATACATTTCATTTTTTTTTCCAGAAGAGTAAAAGGGGCTTGATCATGATTCAAAGGTACAAAGAAGAGATTTCTGATAGTAGGTCTATCTGTTCTATCTGAAAATGATACTAACCATTAGAAGATAATACAAGAAGGTAAAGAAGAGGTAGGTTGTTTAACTGCTAGACATACTGACTCATGAAATTAATACATTGTCCTTCCCTTAATATATTTTAATCAAAGCTGTGCATATTTATAAATTATATCTCATATTACAAACTACAGTCTCCACCCTGAAACTGCTTGGTCAACTTCTGCTGGGGATTCCCATGAAGTTCATTATGAACACCTGGGATTGCATCTCTTGACAAGGATATGAAGCTGTGAACTTTCAAATTTCAATTTCTCTATCGCTTTAACCTGCCTCTCATTTATGGGGTGCAACACAGGACTCACTGATTTGATAGAATCATAGACTACCACAGGTTAGCAGGGACCCTGAAAGATCATCTAATCCAACCTTTTATGGGAAATGAATCCTAGAGATTGTCTAACAGCCTGTCCAATTGCATCTTGAAAATCTTCAGTGATGAGGACTCCACCAAATCCCTGGAAAGGCTGCTCCAGTAATTGCTTGTTCTCACCGTAAAAAAATTCTTTCTTATATTGAAGTGAAATCTTTCCCAGTGCAACTTGTACCCATTAATGAGTTGATGAACATGACAATATAATAACTGTATCCCAGTTGTTCTATAAACCCTCAGGGACAGATGCCTTTACTCATATGACAGTCCAGCATGCCCTTTTCATATTTCATACATAATCCTGGTAACCTCTCCCAGGTCTGTACAAGAAAAACTGTACTTAGACAATTCCCCCCTGTAAGGGATCTTAAGGAACAAAATAACTATTTTCCTTATTAATATTAACACTTCAAAAGGGATGAAAATATCTAATTTTCCTTATTTAATATGAACATTTCAAAAGAGATGAAAGCCACCCTCTTCTTCATTTCACAGCTGAAGTACTTGGAGTATGATTTGGGACACTACCACCTTCTCTAAATCTCTTCTCAGGACTGAACTCATCTTACAGATCTATTCAATTGAGGAAAAATAAGTACTTTTAAGACTTATTTTTCCATCATGCAAATGGAGTCTCTTGGATGTTGAGGCCCAGACTGTATCTTCACATATGCTTGACATAGTGGAAGCAATTCTGTTCTACTAAAACATACCAAATAGTAAGTACAATAAATTTGCAAATACACAAGGAAATGTTTTAGACCAAGAAGCTACTGTTTGAAAAGAACTTTGTGCTATAAAGAGCTGAGGATGTGATTCTGTTCAAGACAGTTCTTATTCCTGAATTGCATATACCAGTTGGAAATGATTAAGGAGTATTATAAAAAAGCACAATAAGCAAGTTCAAAAATTTACTAAGGAGATAAATATAGCTATATTTTTCATACTGTATAGGTATGAAAGGTAGGAAGGTACATTATGTTCATCTAGTCTACCCAGACATGCAATATGTGCCAAAGACTATCACCCAGTAATTCCTGCATCAATTCTTTACAGACAGTTCCAGCCTAAGAGAGATGTTGATAAAGGATGAGATTACAAAACATTTGGGGATGTATAAATCAGTCAGCATGAAATCATAAAGGTGGCAGTTAAATTCTAAGCAAGTTAGTAAGAGGTGCAAGAATGCAGAATCAATGACCATGATTTATGTGAGGTGCAGAAAAGGACTGGAGAGTGTTCCATTCAGCAATTGATTGGATAGGGAAAAAAAAAAAAAGAAAAAGAGAAAATTAAGTTCAGATGAGACAAAGAAAATTTAAAAGCGAGATATGAATACGCTCTGCAGTTGGAACACTTCTGTTTGCCTTACTTCTAATGTCTAAGGATATTAAAAATGGGATTTTCAAAAGAATGTAAGGAAATGAGTGTCCACACCCCTTTGAATGTAATGGCTTTGGATAAATTTTTCCCTATGTTTCATGGGAAAGCCTGCTTCAAGGATAGATAGGTGCCACCAGCTGCCTAAGACAGCAACTGATTTAAAAGCAGTAAGAACCATAAACCTTTATTAAGAAAGGTGCCTAAGACATATTGTCCTGGACAAAGTAGAATTTTTTTATTGACTATGCTTCAAGAATGTATTCTATTACCGCTTCTTCCATTGAGAAGAGGAAGCTGTGTGCATTTTGGAAGCAGAAAAAAGTAATCTCAATAATTATTTTTGATTCAATAAGAAATTGAAAAATATTTAATTTTAGTAAAAGTGGTCTTAATGTCACTAAATAATTTTGTGATAGATCTCAGTACCTGGCGGGAGAGTGTCTCAGCTTGTGACAATGTGCTAATAGAGGGACTGCTGCAGCCATCAAAAGTGTTTCTTCTTGTACTTATCCTGTCCCGTTCATTTTGTACAGCTGGAAAAGAATAATCATCTCATTTATTGACTTGTAAACACTGACATAAAGAATAATTTCAGAACTTTACTTGATTTCAGAAGATAACTCCAAGAACCGAAAGGTATGACATTCAAAGAAGATGACCTGCTTTCAGCTGAGTAATGAGGAAGGATGATAATACATATTTATAGTCTCTATTGGAACACTACTTGCCTGTAAAAAAGCATGTATAACTAATTGCAGATAGACACTGAATCACCAGCACTTCTATTACTGGCTTAATTATAGTCAAACATCTTTCTTCCTTTGAATTGAATACATGGTCTCAATTTCAACCAATTTAATAAGTCAGACTTTTATGATAACAGCAGAAATGGACATTTCCAGACTGCCAAACAAGTAAAGTGGTACAGCATCACTGCTGAAAAAATATCTCTCAGAGGGAGTATGAAAGCCCTAATCATGTTCTGCTGTGGGAAACAATGAAAGAGGAATGAATAATGAATTTAATCCACTAGTAAGATAATTTTGAGACTTAAATCTCATGTTCCTCCTCAGTGACACTGCATTCCTAGTCAGTTTATGGAACACTAACTAAGTTAAAGGGGGAAAAAAAACGAAAAAAAAAACTAACCCAAAAACCAGTACACCAAAAAAGTTTTAGGACAGTAAATTCAGTAAGTTTTGTCTCATGGGGTCCAAAACCAGGCATTTGAAAGAGCTTTGGATAAAAAATCTGTAGTCAGCACATGCAAGGCTTATGAAGCAAGAAGGTATACTTTTGAACTAAAGGAAGAAGAAAAAAATAAAATCTAACAGTCAGATCATTCTAAAACCTAGACCATGTCCAAGATTAGGCCAAGGAAAATTAAAAAGGGGGAAAAATTAATTGTGCCAATGAAAATCTTTCAATTGCATGAGGAATTTAATTATCTTTTCAGAGCAACAGCTTTATTTCCAAAGATACATTTGTTATTTTGTGGGAAACAATCTGCATTACAGAATCTAGGAGTAGTACAAGAGGTTTCAATTAGGAAAAAAAAAAAAAAAAAAACAAACCTCTGTACACTGGCTGGGTTCAGGATTTATCTGAACAATGCACACAGTTTACTCCAGAGATGTACTAACATTTTTGCAGGGACACTCACTGACGGGCCTTTTACTGAGGTCACAGGAAGAAATTTTGTGTGGTGGTAAACACACAGTATGTTGTAGACAGGAAAGAGAAAACATAACCTTTTGTAAAAGAATGATGAAACAAACATCCAATGCTGAAACAAACATAGATAATTAAAATAAGTTTAGCACTGATTAATTTTGCAAAAAAAGTAAGGTATTCTGACAATACACCACTAGTGAAAATCACTGGTGGAGCATACTCAAAACCATTGGTGGATGCTTTAATTTTCTTCTGCATATACATAATTTTTGATTATTAGACTAGACTATGTGGCTAAAGCTTTTTCATCAATTCAGGCTAATATTGCCTTAAACAGAGACTCCATGGGTGGTACATTTGCTCAAAGAGAACTTGTAAAGCTTAACTGAAGCCTTTCTTATCTTTGTCCTGAAGAAAAGAAAGAGATTTGCTAGAAATGAGACACTATCATAGACTCTATGCTACACTTACACTGTAAGACATGCCCAGATCATCTAGAGAGGTTATAACAAAACAAAAGCAGTGTTGAAAGTTTTAGACACACTGGGATCAGAGTAGGGCAGAGTAGCGTTAAGTGGGATAAATTTTTGTGCCATGCACCAGGCTGCATTAGTATCTTGAGGGAATGAGCATTTCTCTGTTTTGGGCTCCCCAGAACATGAAAGATTCTGGAAAACTACGTGGTGTCCAGAAAAGGGCTATGGAGATGTAAACCGTAAGATGCACATAGTGAAGTAGAAAGGCATCTTTGTTTATGTGGAAAAAAGAGGACCAACATGGATGTGAGGATCTTCATTTTTGTAGTATACAGAAAATGGAGCCAGATTCTTCTCAGATGCATAATGAAAAGACAAGTCCCAATGGACACTACTCTAACTGCAGTAAGAGATATTCTACCTGGTTATAAGGAACAAACTCTTCCCAATGAGGGTGGTCAAGTACTGGAAGAGCTTGCAGAGTGAGAGGTTATTGAATCTCCCCTCTCAGGGACTGTGTAAATTTGCCCGGACAGGGTCCCAAGCAACCTAACTGAATCTAGACATCAGCCTTGGTTTAAATGGGGGCTGAACTCCAGATGAACTCCAGATGTCCCTTCTGAGATAAACTATTCTTTAATTCTAGGTTTTTAAAGTCTGTAAAGCTCTGCTATTTGCAAAACTTCTAGGGCTGCTATGTATACACAAATCTTCCCCTTTCTTCACATCAGATTGATAACATATATGTAATACACTACTGACTTGATGGCTCAAATTCCAAAAGTCTAAAGTGTCTTAAATGAGATCCACAATACTAGGTAAACCTAATTTCATACCCCGTGTAACGCTGTTTAGGATATCCCCATCCAGCTTCCAGGAGGAAAATCCATTTTATCTTATACCAATAACTTGATCACTCACAAAGTACTGCTATGGGACAGATACTTAAGAGCATAAAGAAAAAGCTTCCTCTGTACAGACGAAAAGAATGATAGCCACGTTACAAGAGAAATAAGCATTCACATTTCAGGCTGGCCTGAACTGTGCTCCAAACAAAAAAGGCAGCAAAGTTTGTGACAAACCACTTTTGAGTGTGCATTTGAAACAGATAAGGACATCTTTTGCCTCTACATCATTATTGCCCCTGAAACAGCAGCCTAAACAAAAAAACCAAACCTCTAGAATTTGCACTGCCCTTCTTTCCCTATTCCTCTGCACCTGTGGTGATCTGGTCCTTCCACTTTGACAGAAGAATCACTGTGACACATTTCTCATATCTGTCAGTGTGATATATAAATAACAATTTTCTTACATTAAGCCCTAGGGAAATTAGATTATTTGTTAATTAATGTGGACACTCCACTGACAGCTACTACTACTCATTATTTTTTCACTCAACTTCACAATCCTTTGTCTGGCTTAAATGCTTCATACATTCAAATTTAAAGGAAGAACCAGTAAATTTGCCCTGTCATTTCTTAGGGCAGGGAAAAAAGATGCCAGATAAAGATTTTATTACTCAGATTTGGTAAGCATTTTAAGTAAAATCTCATGGTTTGAAATACTCCAGCTTATGGCTCAGTATGTAGAAATCAATGAATTTTGGTTCCAGAATTCACAAATTAAACAGTTGCAAATTCACTTTAAATCCAAGGACTTGCTAATGTCCCAAGTGCTAGAACTGTTTACCCACTTGAAAGTTAGAAGACATGTATTTCACCTCAATATAAAAGGACTTCCCCGTTATGAAGGTATTGTACCAGACTTTCCATTGGTTTATTCTGCTGGAGATTTTTTAGAATTTTCATTATATTTCAAGGTTTATTCAGATTTTTTTCTCTTTGTATATCAAATAATAAATTACTCCATTACCTTCCTTTTTCATTCCTGCTCGAAAACACTTTTTTAAACGACAATATCTGCATTGATTCCTTTTGTCCTTGTCAACAATACATTGTCGGTTGAATCTATCAGAGACAAGAAAAGGTAAATGTATAAAGCATTAATAAAGTAGCACCCTGATTACAAAGAAGAAAACCAACTAATCTGTCCTGTCAGAATAATGTCTGTAACCACAGACTGTCTTCTTCAGTTGCATTGATTATTCTTCTTTATTAATCAGTTTTGAGAGGTGTTTCATACCTGCTAATTTTTCAGGAATACATGTGTGTGTGTATAAACACATGTATGCACTGGAATAGGCAAGTGCGAAAATTCTGTAGCTATGTACATCATTTACACCTCAACTGATTTGTGAGGTATGTCAGTAACTGGCTCCATTAAATGGTGGTGGAAGGGGAAAAAAAGAAGAAAAGCTGCAAATAGAAAAAGGAAAGGACAATCAAGGAAAAAGCCAAATGTTGCTGGCATGGAGGAGCCCCTTAGCTGCAAAATCATTACCCTTGTCTGGAAGTGTTTACTCCTTCTGGGAGATAACAATGAACAAGCTGCATGTTTCATCACTACAGGTGGCAACCTAAGCAGGAAATGAGAGGCACCAACACAATGAAATAAATTGAGGAAATACATGGAGCCTGACACTGCAAGGTGGCTTACCCAGGCTATCATGCACATCTACAGGTGTGCCTAAAGGGAATGCATATGAGCCATTTTCCCCTCTCTCCGTCTAGGTCTGTCTTTTATCCTTTGCATTTATTTGTTAGAAAAACAGACTCTCAAAAGCAGAGTTCTTCCTGAAATCACTTATGTAACCTCTTGACACACCACTTTAGGGGGTATGTCTATGCTGTATCACCGTGCTATGTCTATAAGGGAGAGGTTTCTTTTTAAGAATATTACACAACCAAAGTAAAGTGTAGGAAATAACATTTCCAGCAACAAGACACTCTTTTATAAAAGTTTTATCATCACCCCATGCAATGGCATGGGGGACAGAGAATGGGGGCTACAATCAGTTCATCGCACGTTATCTCTGCTGCTGCTTCCTCCTCAAGGGAAGGACTCCTCTCAGACTTCACCTGCTCCAATGTCAGATTCCTCCCAACAGAGACAGTTCTCCACAAACTTCTCCAACCTTAGTCCTTCCCATGGGCTTAGTTCTTCATGCACTGCTCCAGCATGGGTGCACTCCACAGCATGCAGTTCTTTAGGACTGCTCCAGTAATGTGTCCCCTGTGGGGGGTCAACAGTCCTGCCAGAAAACATTTTCCAGTGTGGGCTCCTCGTTCCATGGGACCGACCACAGGTCTAACATGGAGCCTGCTGCTGCACAATCTTCCCATTAGGTCCCATGCTTCTTTCAGGCATTCACCTTCTCCAGCAGGGGGTCCTCCATGAGCTGCAGGTGGATTTCTGCTCCCCTGTGGATTTCCATGGGTTTCACAGAAACACCTGCTTCACCATGGTCTGTACCATGGGATGCAGGAGAATCTTTGCTCAGCACTTAGAGCATCTCCACTACCTCCTTCTCCATTGACCTTGGTGTCTGCAGAGCTGTTCCTCTCCCATGTTCTCACTCCTCTCTTCTCTGGCTACAGTTTTTTCTGCACAATATTTTTTTTCTTCTTAAATACGTAATCCCCAGAGGCACTACCACCATTGCTGATAGGTTCAGCTTTTGGAGCTAGCTGGCATTGGCTTCACCAGACACTTCTCACAGCTTCTCACAAGAATCCACTTTTGCAGCCCCATCGCTACCAAAATCTTGGCATGAAAACCCAATATACCTCTTCAGTGATTTGTTCAAACTCATTGAATTTTTCATATATTCTGTTCATTACTCACAATGGACAGTATATGTCCCTGAGCCTACACAGATAATTTCATCAAACATGGTGTAGTGTTATATTTAGGCACCATTCAGAAATTAAGACTGCCATTCAGACAGACGGGGGGAAATGGCTGCTCAAAACACCTGTGTGTCACACCAAGTGGGAATATGTGCAGATGTGTTTGTACAGCCCTTAAAACAAGACTCATAAATCTTAGCTTACTATTCAAAAGCTACCTTCATAAGGAAAGAATTTTAGAAAGCAGTTAAGAATTACAGTTTTCACATTGCACTGAAAATGTGAGCATTTTTCCTTTTTTTTTTCTTGTAATCATATATAAAAGAGTGAAACAGCTTCTGAGTGATGTAATGATATCAACAATATCATCAAGAATCTGGAACACAGTTTTTGGAATGTGTAATATCAAGTAGCATTCCCTAAGTAAAAGCTGAAAATCCCCTGACATAGTTTGAAAATTCTGATAAAGTCTGAATATAATTTTTACTTAAATTCATTAATCTAGTGCCTCTAGATTAACTTTCGAAATACCTGCATGAATAGACGTGGTTTTTCCTTATGCTACGTCTAAAAAATCCCTTGCATCCATCACAGCTGGAAGCACCATAATGTTTTCCGGTCGCTCGGTCTCCACATATTGCACAGAGACTACTGACCCCGTTGTCAGCAGCATTCATGTTGACAGCTTCTCCTGAACTGTCTGACAAGAGACAAGAACATACATAGTTATGAATAAGACTTCCAAAAACCACCCCATGAGAAAGTTGTACCTAAACAGAGGCTTTTTCTGGCCTTTTCTCTTAATTGCCACTTAGGATTTATATAGCATGACCCATTTAATTACATCTGGTTCTCACAGACAGGAACACTTTCAAAGTGATAGAGATGTTAAATAAATTTATGAAGTTAAGAACAACAAATAATCGTGTTCTAAAATCTGTTCAGCTGAAGGGTTAAAAATGAAAGTGCACTTCTGGATTTATAATTACACATACATTCCTACTAACATGAGGAGGAACTTCGGCACAGAACAGTTTTAATTGGTAAAGATCTCATGTGTATCAGTTTTCATGGCAATAACTGGCAACTTTCATACAAAGATTTGTGACCATAAAAAAAAGAAAAAAAAAAAAAAAGGGTTTTGCACAAATTAATAAAAAAAATAAAGCATGCTAAATGCACTATCTATTATTTCCTTGAAGATATTTTTGACAGAAGCACTGATGCAATCTTTCCTTGCACAGAATATTAGCTACATGATTAACAATTAGTCACTGAATATGGTAAACACTAATGAATAAATTCACCTGAAATCAAACCAGATATATTTATTTTTTGAATCACAATGTTAATAGACATGTTTAAAGAAACAATTGCAAAAGAGTTTTTTCTGTTTTGCTTCTGGTTTAAATGGAAGGAAAATATACCCTAAACATTTGTAGCTGTTTTGTCCAGGAGAGAAGAGACTGCCATATTAATTAGATATGCACACAAATTCAAAAGTCAAGTATATGAGTTCATGAGCAGTATGCATGATGAACAGTAAAACTGTTAACATTGATACATAATATTACTCATATTGTATAGATCCAACTGAAATGTATAACACAAATACATTATACAATTATCATTGTGTCCCACAGAGTTTAAAAGTTAGAGTTCTTTAGATAGAGAGAAGCAATCTTTCTGTTCTGTTTTGTTTTACAGAGCTGTAATTGATAGAAATTACATTAAAATATTAAATAAAATCTTAGAAGTAAAAATTCAGTTCTTTAAATAATTGATTTTAGAATTAGGATTTTCATGACTTCAAATTTGTAAACTAATTTTAAAATAGGTTACATAATTGCTTTAAAAAAATATAAGACCTTATTTTATTTGGTATAATTCTGAAACAAATGTCTAGAAGATTGGCCTGATGTTGAAAAATTCTTTGATTTCAAAAGAACTGTGTAATCTGCCTGAATGTGGCTTGTTAAACTTCTATAAATGTTCCTGATTAATTTAAACAGCTAGAAAAGATACACAGGAAAGTTCAAAAGGGGCAGCTTTCAGTTCCAAACTAGCACTGTAACAAGACAATGTTCTTATAAATGCTGTAAGAAAATACATAGGCTAAACTCAAAGCAAACTTTAAACAAAAAAAGGCTGCACTTGATAACTAATAATTATCAAGCTAATCACTTACAGGGATAATTTAACCAACTCTATTGCCAACACATAATGCAACCAAGCACAACCTCCCTAATCTGCCTTCCCATTTTATTTAACATTAACAGATCCAAAAGGGTGCTATTCAGCAAAAAACAAATGACCAATGAAATACCCATATTAGAACAAAAAGCAGAGAAATAATCTACAGTTATATAACCATTATTGATAGTTACAAATTTAGTTAGTGCATAAAGTTCTGTTTTTTTCTTCCTAAATCAATAACCAAATCTACCCTTCTGTTTACTAAGCGTGCTGTAATTTAACATCAGAAATTCAGATAAAACGTAAAGCCCAACAATAAAAACTTAATGAGGTTCTATATGGCAGGAATTTGTGGAAATGCAGGTGCTAAATATTTTTCCTGCAAATCGCTACATATTGGTTCTGCCTTTTAAAAGTACATACTACTGTAGATGTATGAATTACACTGTAAGACACAATAAGCCAACATATTTAGTGTATTAAAATATCTGAAAGGCCATTTTTGAGTAGTTTAACTTGCCTAATACCTTTATTCACTTTTTTTTGCCGGTACTCAATGGAAGAATGAAATAGTATACTTTCCATTTCAAGCATAAATTATTGACAAAACTTCTCAAAAATTGCATATTAAAAAATCTGCCTAAAGTGTTACATTAGCCAAATGCAAATACTTCTCAACTAAACATTATCCTCTAGGAAGATGATATGATTCTTTTAAAATCACTCTTGTGCATATATACACTTAGCTAGAAAGGCTAAATTAACACTTAAATAAAAAAAAGTCCAATTAGAAGTTAGGCATGAAGAAACAGTAGCTAATATTTTTCACAAACTTCTGGAGAATTTTGTCCTGTTCTTCTGAAAATTATATACTAAATACACTTCCACCTCCAAATTGTCAATACTAGTTATTCATTCATCTTACAGTAAATAAAACAACTGCTGAATAGACCATTTTTTCCCTTTGATTAACTGACTGGTGACAGTACAGCTACTTTATTATATATAACCTCTCTTTTATTTTCCTTAAAGAATTATAATGTTACTAACTCAGAGTCAGCGATGAAGTGTAAGAGAGCAGATTTGTAGTTTGAAAACAACCCCCAAATGCTCCATTAATAAAACATTTAGCTAACACCTTATAGCATTACTAAACTTCACTTTTTCTGTTAACTGGCTTGAACTTGCCTCACAGGAAAGAACTCACCATTGCCATTATACAGAATCTGCATAGTTTCGAACTCCAGTGCTGTATAAGTCGGATCTAAAACTTCACTGTAGTTTGCCATTTCCATGTCCAGTACTGGTTCTGAGAGCCGCATCATTGAATGCAAAAGCAGTGAAAAAGCTGTTCAAATGTACAACCTTCCCATTCTGTTTCACAGTGATTGATAATCCAAAGTTAACTATAACTGTGTCACTTACGTGCAGCAATGGGAGGAGCTGGAAAAGTGCTTCTGCATGCTGTATTTTACCTGGGTATTTTTTTTCTTTTACGATACAGTGCAACCCTTCTGATAATCTTGGAATGCTTTTTGAAATAATCTTATCAGGAGTTGTATTGGTTCCAGTTCTTGCAAGAACCCAAGGACGTGCAGGAAGCTTCCTATCCCTCATGCTTTGCTGCACATTTTGCTGTCAATGCGTGGTACAAACAGTTCTAAACAAACTGCTCTGGTTGTTCTGTGTAGAGACTGTAACTTCATACGGTATTTTGCTCACTCGCTTCAGAACAATAAGGAAATGTGATATGATTATGGACTATCTCAAACTATACCCAAATCACCCACCTACATATTTTAAAAGACAGTTGTAAAATCTCCCATTTTACAGCTCCTAGTGTTCTTTCCCATTGGCAATGACTTAGCTGTGTAGGCATCCTTAAGCAAGGCTTCAAGTCACACAAGTCTGCAGCAAGGCCAGCTCATAAATCCCCTCCATCACACACTGTGCTGCTGCAATAGCTCCAGACACTGTACCCTGCAGCCTCTCAGACAGTGGCTTCCTGCTCTAACCCTTCTTCATAAAAGATGTGATGGCTGCATGGCATTTCCAAGCACCACTCAGATGTACAGGAGGAAAAGAAATTAATCACCTTCTCTGTAATGAAGCATCTCTGGGTTGGTCTACACCTCATCAGTTGATAGACATGGCGTGTTAAACCCAGTTAAAAACCCTCCTGTAAAGCTGCTTGAATCTGTGCCAAATATATAGCTGAACAGCAGAATTTCACTTGCTAATCTGATGCTTCTAAATGTTGGATAGCAGAATTTCAAATGTTATTATTCTCAATACATTCTATACAGAAAACTACCCTTTACACTGCTGAAAACCAGTTACATAAGGATTACATATATAGGAAAACTACCCAGTTTATGCCTAATTAACAAGAGCTAGTAACTATATATACAGCATTGAAATGCACATTTGAATGGAGAAGTGTCTGCAGTCCCTACTCAGTAAAAGTAGTTGTAAAAGGGCACCGTAAACCAACTCATTGATTAAATAAATAAATAAACAAATATTTTAAAAAGGAATTTATGATAGACAAGTAACCCATGAAGGAGGAAAATTTACATGAAAGACCTAGAAAAAAAAAGCCTTTCAAAATTCATCCTTCTAATATCCATGTCCTCAGGGTTACCTGAGAGTCATAAATCATCCTGGCTCCTCGTGGACATGTAGATGCAGTCTCAGGCCAGTTCTCCTCCTGATTTCAGCAGAGCCTAGTAACATAATTATGACAACAGGATTCTTGTATAATTCACAGACCTATCCTAAACCAAAGCATATTTACAGTTGTGTTACTGTTTGAAAAAATTCACCTCAGATTTTGGAGGCTCTCAACAGGGGCAGTCCTTTTCAACCTACTGCTATTCATTTTCCTTTAAACCATTCATCCATTATTATATTTAATGAGATATCAAAAAATGCAAAAGTTACTTCTTAAAAAGAGCAACTGATATGACCACAAATACTTCCCATACACAACAGAAGACAAATAATATAAAAAATAGCAATTTTAAAGATATTTAAGAATATGGTTGAAATTTTAGAATATTTTCTGTTTACAATTATGAAAAACAATTACTCAGAAACTGGCATTTTGGAGTACTGGAAGTGTACAAGTTTTCACAGTTTTTAAACACACCTAATATTTTTTTCTTTTACTTATAGAAGTATATTAAAATAAGATTGATTAAAAGCTATCTGTTGACAGCCAATACTGTTTAGGAAATCACTGTAATTTCATCATGAGATGGAATAATTTTATATTACCTGATGGCTTAGTTTGAAAAGTTTCTTCTGTAGCAGAATTTGTTGTATTTACTACAACCATTTGTTGTATTTGTATAGTATTTTCTATAAAGCTAATTACTAGTTACATAAGAAATGATTCATTGCCTTAATATGGCAATTATGCTACTTAGCATAATATAAAAAGGCTTACATGTTAACTAGAATTATCTATTGTTCTTCAGTGTATACTTTTTGATA